TTTCAAGCGAAAAACAATCTTCATACATTATCTTGGCCAGCTCAAAGTCCCGATCTTAATCCAATTGAGAATCTTTGAGCTGAAGTCAAGAAAAGCATCCGAGCTTATAAAAAACCTCTATCTAATTTGACTTATATGTTAAAAAGCTTGGCAAGAAATTCTGAAGCATACTATCGAAACCTAGTCGATAGTATGCCGCAACAAATTCAAGCTGTGATTGCGGCAAATAGTAGTACAACTAAATACTAGTTACTTAGTACAAAATGTAGATCTTAATCAGCTTTAAATAAAATATTAATTGACCATTTATTGTTAATGCAAAAAAATTATAAGTTTATATTGAGTGAAAAAGTATGCGGATACTTTTGTCCACCCTTTGTATATTAAATTATTATATAAATAAAAGAAAATTTTAATAAATAATTTATTTATAATTATATAAAAAGATTTACTTAATTAATTATATTAGACTTAAATATAATATTAGTAACAAATATCTTTAAATTGTAAAAATATATTTTATAAAATATTGTTAGTAAAAAAAACCTAAAATTTTATAGATATTTTTTATCAAAATAATATATATAAACATAAAATCTTTTAAACTTATTTAAATTAATTAAATTTATATTTAAATTGATTTAAATAATAAATATAATTTATATTACCTAGTATTTAATTAATTAAACTAAATTAAATTATATATGATATAAAAGTTTACTATATAGAGCAAATTTATTATATAAGATGAATTGGAAAATAAAGTAGTTCGAGCTTTTATTCTTATAATGTAAAAAAAATGATTTTTCTTTCATTCAAAATCAAACAATTAAAACCAACAAATCTCGAGACAATATTGCAAAAAAAAAAATTCTCGATTATAAAAGGCCGTGCTTTGTAGTAATCTGTATGCTTTAATAGGGTCGCCAACTTTATCCCATCAGACTTGATAGCGCTGGCACTGCGGACGAAGGTAGCTGTTATCAATGCATTATCCTCATACTCATCCCCTAAATTTTATCTATCAGAGTATTGGGATCGATAAACTATAAATAGTTGAAATAAATTGTATCAGCCAATAAAAATTTAAAGATTTAAATAAGAGATATTTTAAAATGAGAAATTTACTAACAGAGGAACTCCCAGCATTCTATATCTGAATATGTTAATAAATTATTCAATAGAATAACTTTGAAAATCAGTGACACACACACAGAATACGTTTAATGGTTTTCACAATACAGAAAACTTTTACGCTAACTCTTCGGAATGTTATTTAAATGTTGTGGACCTCAGTAATTGGTAGTATAAAAAAACTACAGTATTAAACATCAATCAAACAATCATTCGAAGCTGAAGAAGAGATAGTCAAAAGTGGACTAAAGAAATCGGTGATAAAAGATCATGAATGCCTCAGCTGAATAAAAAAATGAGTTTCGCATCTTTAAATATTTCTTTGCAGAAATAATTGAATTTTTGCTTGGCCGACTATATTTATGTTGGTGTTCTATTAATTGTTTCTTAGATAAAGCTTTATTATCTAAATATTCATTGTTAATGTTCGAGATGGAATTTTATTTTACTTTTAAAATCGGTTTATTTTAGATCACTATAGGCGCAATGGAAAAATTGCGCAACGAAGTAAACGGCTTTCTTAAGCTAAAAACCAGATCGGACTATCTTAAGATGGCTTATGAAGAAGTGCTATTTCCGGTGGTCTTCACTGGGAAGAAAAAATATTTCGGCACCAAGCATAAAGATGCAGTAAACTTCGGTCTAAAGGATCCTTTTATAAGAGGAATTGATTCTGTATATTGACGATCAATACAAATATAAATTAATCCGAATAAAATCCGATGATTTTGAGTCATGTATCAATCGACCAATGACAAAAAAATTGGCAAATGATATTTATACTGTAATTATATATATTTTAATTTTCAATAATTTTAAAAATAAAATTGAAAAATTAAATAAGAATCATCATCCATATCTAGCCTAATCTATAACGAGATCTTTTCATAATTTTTTAATATTTCTTTCAACATAAAGAATTCCAAATTATCCATGGCTCTTTCTAATGTATCATTAATGGTAGCAGTCCTATCACAGACATCGTTTCCTGTTTAGGTATTCCTTCTTCTCTCGAAACTTTTCGCAAGATGTTTTGGAACAGGCAAAGAATTATTAAACTGTTCATTTTACACGTAAAGCGAGCAGGTAAATCGATTGCGTAAACACATTGATTGAATATCTCAAGGGGATGAACGAGTGACATTAATTGAATAATATCCAAGTTACGATTTAATCATGAAGTTTCGATTAGATTTCAATAAAAACACAAACCTTCGTCATCTTCTTTTAATACAGTTATCCACACTTATTTTGAATCGGGATAATGCTTGTTTGCTAAGATCATTTAACCTAATAATACAATCTTATATATTAAGTTAAAAAATATAAGTATATTATACATGGGAATTTGAAGGTGTAGCTGGTGTAGCGGTCGTAGCAGTTGTCGCTGGTACCAAACTTTCATATTGAGCGTACGCGTATACTTTCACTTGTATAGGTGATGGAGTTTTCTATTTTATTCTTGAGGTTACCTGCTGGAAGCTTCCTTCGTGGAACTCTTAATATCTAGGGTAGCATCTATTCTCCTTCTGCGATTGGTGACTGAACGTAGTCCATTGTTATGCCACAAACACTGACGATTGCAAGCAAGTTTTTTGCGAGTACTCTAGCTACGCTAACATTGGTATAAACATCTGAACCGAGTACCACGAGCCGTGTCCCATTTTTTTCATAGATCTGTTCCATGTCAATGTAAAAAAAAATCGACCATCTCTGATACTGCTCTTTCTTGTTGATAAAAGAGGACCCAATTATTCTTTACGGAATATTGTATTTGGTGAAGTTTCCGATAGAAACAGTGATGGCAAATAACCAGGTCATATTGCCATTTTAAAACGACCTCTGAATGACATTCGAATGACCTAGTTTTGTTATTTGTCATTTAAATGTAATACAGCAAATATTATGTGCTGGCCAGAATTGCAAATTATATCACGTTAAATATTTACGAAACATTAAATTACATTAATTATTTGGCAAATTTTAACCTAGACCCAGGGCTAGGTTATTATCCTAGACCCATGTATAAATAAATGTTTTTTAAAGTATATATCACGTGAAATGTACAGTTGCGGTCTAGGATAAAGGTCTACACCCGGGGTACAGGTTAAGGACCCTCTTAATTATTTTGGCCAGAATTATTGAGATCACATGATATAATATTTAAATGACCAGGTTTGAAATGACTCAAATGACACATGACCAGTCATTTGAGTCAATTGAGGTCATTTGTTCACTTGCCATCACTGGATAGAAATATAAGAACAAAATATTTAATATATATATGAATTATCTTCAAGGATAGAGAGCTTACATTTATTTGAAAGCCTTATTTCGCTCAGTTTTCAAAACATTTTGATATACATCAGTATAAAAGATTATAGCGAGTTGGCGTCGAAGATGATGTTTAGTTCGGTTCGAATCTGACGAAGTGCCAATCATATATGGTAGTGCCAGATGCTGGAAAAACATTTTGCATGAGAAAGTAGTAGCAGGGCATTGTAGATTGATGCTTCGAGTCCTCTTAGCAAACATCATCACGGAACCTAGAATCAGATAGAGAAAACGATACCGCCACTCCTGTGGTGGTGTCCAAAATAGATTCAATTCTTATGGCAATAAAAATAATTGCTGCTATAATCATTTTTTTTTCCTTAGGAAAATTAATTTAGAATTTCCTATGGTCAACTATTGTATTACGCAAACTCATCTATTAATAAAAATTTTATAATTTTATATTAATAAAAAATATACAAATATACAAATAGCTTTGGAATAAGGCGTTAATATAAACCTAATTTTACCAATTATATAATCAATTTTAACTTTTTTAGAAATTAATTTCTATAGAATGTATTGTTTCGACATTGCTGTTCGTCAATTGTAAGTAATGAAATTTTTTTGATCCAACGTACTAAAACATGTCCTACTCTTTTATATGGTATATAAAAAAGATTTGATAGCGTTGGCAAAAAATAATTTCGCAAATAGAGATTATTTTGAACAGCAACGACATATTTTCAAGACATTTTGTATATAACTAAAACCAAATAATTTTTACCTATCCATATAAAAAATATTGTGCATTTTGTGTGACTGAGGTCTTTATATTTAAGGCTAGACTTTCAATATAATATCTTTCAAATCCAATTAACAAATGGAGCTTACGAAAATGAGACATTTTACCCAGCCTCAAATTTAAAATCTAGTCCTGTGACAATTTATTTACGCCTAGAATTTACCGCACCACTCCACTTCCAAACCTACCCTTTGTCTGAGGTGTACATTTTCCTTTTGGGAAAATAAGACTCATTGTTGTGAACATGAACCAAAAAAATTCAAATTTATTCAAGTGTGGTGTTTAAATTAATCAGAAATTATTTTCTTTAGACATATTAGTTATAGAAATAAAATGAATGGAAATAATAGGGATTGTTGTTTATATGCAATAACAGAATCAACAGATTAATATCTATTCAAATATTTTAATTACCATTGTGGGATGCCAGCAGCTCTTGTATATTTGTAACAAGTGTCTAAAATATTGCGACAGATTGTCAAAAGTGGCGTTCATATTGCTTTGTAATATATAACAACAAATATGATGTTTGGAATTACCGATAAATCTCAGTTATTGATGTTGCATATTTTGTCAGTGGTTTCATACAATACGAGTCGATGGGGGTGTTCCATCAACTATGTAAATCAAAACTTTGTTAAGTATCATATAACATTTTACTATTAGAAAGTTTTCGTATTAAACTATAATTTAGAATAAGTTTAAATTTGCTTATAATAAATTTCCTATTAAAAATAATACATTTTTAAACTTCAATTTCTTTGACTTCTTATAAATTTCTTTCCAAATTTCGCGAAAGTATTCTAAATAACCGTCTCTTTCATGCAACTAGCTGCTTTTTTTAAAAAAAGCTATTCATATTTCAAACATAACAAAATAACTATTTCTGAACAATTCCTCTATAGGAAAATTTTTCTTTTTTAAACTTTTTCAAAAAACAAGGTGTCACATTGTTCCTAAGGTCGCTATGTATACATTTGATGTGAAATTGAATTTTACAGATCTCGGATTATTTAATGGGAAGAATTTCAAGCCGTGCCCGTCAATTAAAAAAGCTCGTGAAATACAGGCTCAAAAAATAAAAATGACAAAAAACAAAAAATTTAATGAAATCTTAAATGAGATGGACGAACTAAAACTAAATAATGCTTTCTTTCGGCTCTAATTCATTTGAAAATAAAAAACATAAATATTAACAAATCCAGTATTAAAAAGGTCCGGGAACAAAGAAAAAATCAACCATTGTGTAACTTAAATTTGAAGAATAATATAATTCTAGATGATGCAGAAAGAGTTAGAAAAACGGATCAATTATTTGAAAAAATTTTTTCTAAAAAAAAAATAATATATTTGTTTAAAATATCCGGCAAAAAAATCCAATTGATCCATTTAACCGGTATAACCGGCAGAAATTAAATGTTCGTCAAAAAAATCTCTAATAGTAAAATTTTATATGATACTTAACAAAGTTTTGATTTACATAATTGATGGAACACCCCCAATGAGTCGAGGTAACAAACGATTTTTTAATTAAAGAAATTCTATTAAAATAATATAATATAAACTTATTTTTTAGAATATATTTTAAGAGTGCTTGAATTTGATATTACGATAATATTAAATAATTTTCGTACCAATGAATTTTAAAATAAAGCATACTTTCTCAATATTATAGGCAATCTAGTATTAAAATGCTTCAAATATTCAAGAAACAAAGGTAAATAGTAGGCCCTTAATCATTTCACGTGAAAACACTAATCACCTTCACTCTTTTCTGTTCAGAAAACGGTTATTCTTGACATAAAATGACGAAATAATTAGTTGTAGTAATTTTATAATGATTAATATATGTAAAGTAAACTGAGTTCAAAATTCAAGGTTTATGAAAAATACAGGTCAATTTAAATTTAAAACCTTTAACGAGTAAATTTTTGACATTGAAACGGATCATTTACAATTATGATTAGCTTTCTGCATATTAGTCTGGAATTACTGTGCCCTAGTCTTCATTTATTTAAATGTCTTCTTTTCTTTCCTTTCAATTATATCTGATTGCTTTTTTATCACACAACCATAAATATTTTTAAAAAGGTTTCGTTTATGTTCTTGTATTTAGATAGAGAAAATCGGATAAGTTCTCTTAAAATACGTAATACCAATTTAAAGGTCTAATTCTATAATTCCTTAATCTCAATTATAAATTTGTAATAAGATATTTACCATTTATATATACATTCATTGCTATTTTCATGGTCTTCATAATTGTATTAGAATAAACTTTTCAAAAGTAAATAAATTGACATTAGAAAAGAATACTTTGGATTTAAAAAACGACATACTTACTATGGCCTTTGTTCATTTTGTTTATTTTTCATATCAGGACTAGCAATATTCACATATCAATTTGATTCTATATTCTAATTATGCGATTTTTATTCAAGTTCAGAGTTGTTGATCGTATTCTTTGATTTTCATTCATTTTCAAATGTTTAATTTTTAGTTCATTCTCATTTTTTATTGGTATACATCTCGAACAAGACGTGGTAAAAGAAACTATTATAATTTAATTAATTCGTAATCCATAATGAACTGATGAGTAGTTTATTATTATAAGCTTCTAAATTCGATTTATAGTTAAAACCATTTGAAAATATATTTGAAATAACATAATCAATTTACATTGATCAATTATCCAAAATGCTGCCATTACCTCGAATAAATAAATCGCATCCTAAACATAAGCTGGTCTCATATTTGAGCTATAATACAAGGTATACTATTAACATTTAATTTCGGTTAAATATATCCCAATTTAAGATAAATAATAAATAAAGATATCTGATATTGAGTCACCAATGATTTTTTAAATAGATTATACTTTAATTATCAATCACGATTGATAAAAGTATTTTAACTTACATAACGTGCCTGGAAAAAATGGTAGCCAGACAATTTAACGGGTCATACGTGGTTTCAACGTGACAAAAAATACTAATCTTCGTTCAAATAAAAAAATTTATTTTATCTCTTCCATTTTTTTCGTGAAACCTTATTTTAAATTACATTTTCCCAAAAAACAATGTAAACTTGAAGCTTATTTATTGTATAAAGGATCGAGTTGTTTTTTGTTCTTATTTTGAAAAAGAAATATTTTTCTTTTTTACGCCACCGTGTCTAATTAACAAAATAGAGCTTTCAATTGTCGAGCTATGAAGAATTTTGAATGAAAATGTGTTGATTTAATGAAATGTTATAATGTCAAAATAGCTCGTTCATAGAACAACTCGTTAACTTCTTTGTCGAACTTTATAAAGGAGAAATGAGTAGTTAGATATTAGTTTTAATCTTGAGCTAGCATCATTTTAGAAAATCATGATAAAGATAATTGCCTGAAATTTACACTTTCATGATAAAGTATACGGTAACAAAAAAAATTAATTCTTTATTTAAATATCTAACTTTTAAGGTAACCATTTTTTATTAATATAATCATCTATCCTAACTAAACATATTTTTATCAAATACACATTAGAATCTTTTTAATTTTTTTTTTTAGTAAGCAAAAAAATCTTAAAAACAAAGCTAATAATTATGGAATTGAAGCAATTATTTCATTTTCCTATTAATCTATTTGATACTGAATCTTTCAAGACACGAAACGTGATAAATTTTGAAATAACCACTGTGGCACTTTTAATAAGATAAAATACTGCGGTGAAGGAGAAATTTTATTAAAAGAAACTTTGGGTGATCAAAATTTATTTAAAACAAAGCATTGATGAACGATTTATCATAAAAAAATTTATTTAATAAAATGTTTGGTGTTATCTTTAAAAAAACTAAGCTATACAAGTGACGATAAATAAATATTATGAAAACATCATCTTCGTCTAAGATACTTAACCTTAATTATATTATCTCTTATATTGAAGGTAAATGATATTTCGATCTATGTAACAACTCATTTAGTTATAGATAATTTCAGTTATCTGTTATTTCATAACGGCTGTTTTAACTTTTAGAAAATTTTTATAAGTTTTTGGAGGTAAATTTTTTTTTATTAGAAATTAGCACATAATTTTAAAAAGAAAATTTCCATGTTTTTTAATTTACTTTTTCACATTCGACAAATTCCGTCTAGAGCCTTTATGGATTCTTTAATAAGAAGACCAGGAAAAAGCGTCTAAATCATGACTTTATGTTTGTGATAGAACGTAAGTTAGGTAAAATTTTATCTTTTTAGGAAAGCTTCAGTATTTAATTTATTTCATTCATTTTATGGGAAGAATTTTTTTCTTCGGGTCATCCTAAATGTAGGTCTTGTGGATTTCTATTTTTTATTTATTAATAGAGAACGTTTCTTTCACGATTTTCCGATTCTTTCCTTCTCACTCTCTTTGTAACTTTAGGATAAGTTGCGCAAATGATTTTTTTTAGAGGGTCTTTTTTTTTTAAAAAAATTATTTTTTTTTTTTAGTAATGGAAAATGATATTTTTTTAAGTGAAATTAATATAATACTTAAGATATTATTGAATATTAAAAAATATAGCGATCCAATTCTTTATTTGCCGATTTTTCAATTAAATAATTAAAACGCTAATACAACTCTTTGAACAATTTGAATGATTAATTATATGGTCAATAGCAGAAGCTTCAATTATTATCACTTTATGTTTATGTTTCCTTAAATAAAATTTCGATAACTATTACTTTAAAATGAAAAATTTTAACAAGGAAATGCAACAACATGCGTCGCACAAAATGGAAACCTAAATGTAGTGTAACACTATTATGTATCTAAATGATTTTTTTTTTTTTGTTTCTTTTTCAAATTTTAACTTTCTGTAAAAATGTCCTTAAAATGTTTGCAGGATGATTATGAAAAGTTATTGGAAAATGACAAAAGATATGATGTCATTATTTATGTCGGTGAAAATGAAAGCATTAAAGAATTACATGCCCTTTCAAATATTTTATGTTTCAGGTCGCAATATTTTGATGATGAATTAAATGAAAATGTTGAGAAGAAGGAAGGGAAATTTATTTTAAAAATACCCAACATTCCTCCAAATATTTTTAAAACTATATTAAGGTAAATTAATTCGACAACTACGACAATGATATGAACCAAATTGCTAATATCTCTTGTATTTCAGATTTATATATTGCGGAAGGATTGACATGACAAAATTAGAAGGAACCGAAATATTAGATCTCTTAAAAGCGGCAAGTGCTCTTAATATTCAATCATTAGTTTCCGAAATTGAAGATAATTTAATTAAAAGCCATCATGAGTTTATACAAAAAAATCCTACAGGAATTCTTGAAACAATTTTTCAACATGAGACTTTCACAAAATTACGAAATTTTTATTTTGAAAAAGTTTGTGAAGACCACGAAGAGTTTATAAATTCTGACAAATTTACTAGTATAAAAGCACCTTTATTAGAATTCCTTTTAAAACGGGATGATTTAAGTCTTGATGAAATTGATATTTGGGACAGTTTAATTAAATAGGTTTTGCTCAAAGCCCATCTATTCCTAAAGACGTCAAAGAATGGAGCCATGAAAAAACCACAGTTATGGAAAGAACTTTTCATAGATTTATTCCTTTAGTTAGGTTTCAATATATTTCTTCAGGTGATTTTATAGAAAAAGTACTTCCTTTTAAAGAATTACTACCAAAGGATTTGTTTGTTAACCTCTTAACTTATGTTTGGGCACCGGATAATATATTAAATATTAATATGCAACCACCTAGACCGTCAAAATGTGACTCAATCCTAGTTAAATCTAAACATTTTGCTATATTTTCCGGTTGGATTGATAAGAATAAAATCAATGAACAAAAGTCGCCTTATGGTTTTAAATTACTTTATCGTACCAGTAGGGATGGTAATACAATTGCAGCATTTCATCAAAAATGTGATAATAAAGGCGCCAACATAGTTGTAGTTAAAATTAACGGAACTGAAAAAATAGTGGGAGGATATAATCCATTTGGTTGGGAAGGATGTTTTGAATGGAAAACCACCAAAGATAGTTTTATGTTCTCATTCGTAAATAGAAATAACCTTCAAACTGCAAAAGTAGGTTATATTAAGGATAGATATGCTCCAAATACTGTATGTTGTGATCCAAATTATGGTCCAATTTTTGGTAAAGGTTATAATATTTTTTGCGATAGTATTAATGCTTGGAATGTTGATAACCACTTGCTTTTTCTCAAGCTGATAATCCAAAAGGTAATTTTCAAATGGATGATTATGAGGTATTTCAAGTTAATAAAAAATAAATACATGCGTACGTATGATTATTTGCTTTAGTAACTGTAAATTCTATGTCATTTATAGAATCTTACTGAAATTAGTTGGGCTGTAATAGATTTATAGCAAATGTAGTTGAATTAACCCATTAAACTTCAATATTTACGGTTTGTACGATCAATAAAATGTTATCAGTAACTGTTTTGTGTTTTAGGCGCTTAAATAAAACGAATGAAATTTAACAGAACTTTTCATAAGTAGTCAGTTTCAGAGCACATAATTAGAGAATAATTTAAATAACAAATACGCAAACTCTAATCTGTGTTATATAAGAGATTTTCGGAGTCTAATATAGCTGTTTCAGATATCTAAGAAAGTATAAATTGATGATACTTGATGAAAGATTAGAACTTTAGCAATTCCGACTGCATTAAAAACAAAAATTACAAATATGAATATCTGTATTAAAAGTATTTAAATAAAATACATCTTAATCCCTTTTTTGATATCGTTAAAAATTTATTTATATAATTAAATTACCAACATTTTTTAATGTTTTATCAACTCAACTTTTATTCCAATTATACGAATACTATTAAACAACTCATATAACAAAACTAAAAAGATCAGAAAGTAGGTCAGTCGACTGGCAACTGCGTACAAGAATGGGGTATCCAATAGGGTTCGTGTTGCGTTTGGTTGACTATCGACTGCATCTAAGGATGGGGGATATCCAACAGGGCTCGGGTTGCACGAGCACCCACTCATGAAGCACATAAGAGAAGATGACATAGCAATTCCTTCGTCAGAAAATCGCAGACCCTTACCAATAAAACCACATTCACGAACAGTTGTACCGGCTCTTTTCAATTCTAGATGACAAACGATTAAATCGAGAAGAAAATTAAAAAAAGATAAAATTACGAAAACAATCAATGTACATCGTATATGCCCCTCCCACATTAGCCCACTTATTTGTTGACTAATAAATCAAGAATTAATAAGGTTTTAACGCTTATACAGCACAATTAATTTTTTTTTAGTTTAGTCAATATGAGTTGTCATTTATCGTGAGACAAAGGAAGAAGGAAGAAGCCTGGAATCGGAACACGATAAACGTACGCCTCCAAGTATCCTCATCTATTTAAAATTAAAATTCTAGAAAAAGAAATGAAAAAGAAATTAGTTATTGTGATATTCGTCTATATTCCACGGAATGAAGAGATGAAAACTATTGTCGATAAAATAACAAATAAAAAAAGTATAAAGAGCTTAAACTACATGATAAGATTTGAAAAACAGATATCAGGAAGCAAAGTTTTTTAAAAGATAGTCTCTCGCTGAAAAAATATAAAAGCCGTGCCAGTTTATTGAGAAATTTTTTTTTTTTGTGAAAAGGCTACGAAAATGAAAGAACATATCTGATATTACTTGGTATTTGAAGTATAATATACGATGAGAAAGACGTGCTTTCTCCGACTTCTTTGTTTATTAATGAAGGAAATCGTGTGAATATTTATTTTCTTTAAAAAATATATATTATCTTTTACTGTAAATCGACGAAAACAAAATGTAAACTCACGAGGTCACAAAATTCAGGTAACCTAAATGTTACCGATCGACATGGATTTTTTTATATTATAATCATTTTATCAACATTTTATGATAAAATTAAAATATTATTTCAAAAAAATTTTAACCCAAATTTAACCCGATTTTAAAAGTAAGCGGACATCCAGGTGATATATTGTCCCTTTCGGTTATTGGTAAAAAATGTTTGTTAATGGTACAATTAATATGACTACGGTATTTGCCTTGTCGGGAAAAATTTTCCATAATGTCACCTGCAATGAGTCAAAAAAAAAAAAATCTTTAATACTTGATTATTAGAAAAAAAGAAATTTACTTCCAAAATACACGATTTTCAGCATCAATTAAATAGAATTCCTCAAATTACTTTATTTTAATTGTTTTTGATTTTCAGTTATGTTTCGAATATCTGTATAATTGCGAATATTTGAATTTTATTTATTTGCAAACAAAATATTCAAAGTTCTATTTACAAATGGAAACCCTGATCAAATGGATAAATGCCAATTGAATAATTTCTTTGTAAAAAAAAATCGAAATTTAGTACAATACGTATCTCTCTAATATTCTTTCAAACTATGGATGAGGAGTACGAGCGATTCGATTATTCTTTGAGTTTCTTGGCTTCGTAGCCTGTTTCAGTTCCAATACATCCCAGATTTCTATCATCAAGAGTGTTTTCTCCATGTTTAATGACGTAGAAGTATAAGCAAAGGTAATATTTATAGATTAATTATCCGACAAAAAAAGTGCGTTATTTGTTGAATGTGTTTTTTTTTTGATATTTTGACAAAGTCAATAAAAGGTTTCCTCTATTAGATTATTCAATACTTCATGTTGTATACAGTACGCAAAAATAATCAATTTGACCAGTCTGTGCCTCATATCTTAATTACATTTTTGCAAGGGGTTAAATCACCTCTTCCACTCCGTTAATCAAATCAATTTCTTTATTTTAATTGTTTATATTATAAGTATCTTCTTGAATTATCATATATTTTGAAATATTTGTTCAATTTGATACTTATAATATTTCGTTTTCATATAATTTTTTATATTTAATAAATACTTTGCCTGGATAGTATATTTAGTGGATTTCTAAATTTGGTAACTGAACACTGCAAAGGTTTTTTTTAAAAAAATTGGTAAGGGTTATGCGCATGCAGATAACTAACTACTTCGCTACTTGATCATAAAAAAAAAAAATTCAATAAATTTGTATGATTATTATAACTTGATGAAATTTTAAGAATCTATATATACCGGAGAAAATTACGATCATCAAAAAAAATAAAAAGAAAAGAAAAAACGAAACGAAAAAAAAAAAATAAAATGATAAAACGAAATTAAAAAAAAAAATTATAAAACAAAATAAGACGAAAAGAATTTTTTAAAAAAAAAGATCGCATGAATAAAGGTCGCACGAAAACGAAAACTAAAAAATAAAAACAGAAAAAAGAAAAATAAAAACGGATTAAAAAAATGAAAAAAAAATAAATGAAAAAATATAAAAAAAAAAGGAAAAAAAAAGAAATAATAAAAAAAACTAATATAAAAAAAAATATAAAAAAAAAACGAAATCCAAAAATCAAATCAATAAAAAAGTTATGATAAAAAAATCAAGCATTAAATTCATCATCAAAAGTATACCTTCGCCAATTAAAATTAAAATTTAAATAAAATACTTTCAAATATTAAGACCGGCCTTTGGCCGGCCATCACCATGAATCTAGTTTACTAAAGTCAAGTATCTCATAAATACTTTTCTAATACGTAACGTAGGTTACAAAAATAAATATTTTATTTGAAAAAAACTTGATGAATAAAACTATATAATTATATATTAAATTTATTTTATCTTTTATTAACTTGAAATACTTCATAATCATCTGCATGAAACTGACCATTTGGAATATCGATTTGAGGATAAGAATATGGATTATTAGCACGCCAAGTATTATCAGTATTAAAAAAAATATCATTAATACCAAAATATGGGCCAAAATTTGAATCACAATGTACAGCATGTTGAGCATGACCATCCTTAATATAACCTACTTTTGAAGTTTGAAGGTTTGTTCTATTTACGAATGAGAATATAAAACTTTCTTTGGTAGTTTTCCATTGACTATTTCCTTCCCACCCAAATGGATTATATCCTCCCACTATTTGTTCAGTTCCTTTAATTTTTATTACGACTATATTGGCACCTTTGTTATCACATTTATGATGAAATGCTGCAATTGTATTACCATCCCTACTGGCACGATAAAGTAAATTAAAATCATAAGGCGAATTTTTGTTATTAATTTCTTTCTTATCAATCCAACCGGAAAATATAGCAAAATGTTTAGAATTAACTAGGATTGAGTCACATTTTGACGATCTATGTGGTTGCATATTAATATTTATTATATTATCTGGTGCCCAAACATAAGTTAAGAGGTTAACTACCAAATCCTGTGGTAATAGTCCTCTAAAAGGAAGAACTTTTTCAAGAAAATCATCTGATGACATATGATGAAATCTAACTAAAGGGATAAATCTATGAAGAGTTCTTTCCATAATTATAGTTTCCTCATTTCTCCATTCTTTGACGTCTTTAGGAATGGAAGGGTTCTGAGCAAAACCCCATTTAATTAAACTATTCCAAATATCAACTTCATCCAGACGTAAATCATTTCGCTTTAAAAGGAATTCTAATAAAGGTGTTTTCATATTAATAAATTTATCAGAATTAAAAAGTTCTTCAGGGTCTTCACAAATTTTTTCAAGATAAAAGTTCCGTAATTTCGTGAGAGGTTCTTGTTGACAAAATGTTTCAAGAATTCCTGGATTGGTTTGTAAAAACTCATGATGGTCTTTAATTAAATAATCTTCAATTTCGGGAAATAAATCTTGGAGTTTAAGAGCAACTGTCGCATTTAGGAGCTTTAATATTTCAGTTCCTTCTAACTTCGTTATATCAATCCTTCCACAATATATAAATCTGAAATCAAAGAGATTTTAGTAACTTATTTTATATTATTGTCGTAATTGTCGAACTGTATTTACCTTAAGATAATTTTAAAGATATTTGGAAGAATGTTTGGTACTTTTAAAATAAATTTTCCTTCCTTCTTCTCAACATTTTCTTTAGCTAATTCATCATTAAAATATTGCGACCTAAAACGTAAAATAATTGAATGCGCACGTAGTTCTTTGACGTTTTCGTTTTCACCGGAATAAATAATGACATCATAACTTTCGTCATTTTCAAATAATTTCTCATAATCATTAGCCACTCCCTGCAAACATTCAATGGACATTTTTTTTTTTTTTTTTTAAAGAAATGAAAATTGAAAAAATAAAGAAAAAAAATCATTGGGAGGAAAGTTATATATTAATTTGGAATCTTGTAAAATTCATTTAACTAAATTTAAAATTATTCAAGTTTCGTGTAATTAGATGATCTTTTAAAGTGACTCCTTATACAATATCATTGTATATGAAAGTTACAATTATATCGAAAATCGTCCATTTCTGCGCCTCTTTATTACGAAAATCAAAAATAATCACATTGCATTAAAATTCACAACGAAGATAAATCTCCTACATGAAGCTTATCTTCTTCCATGATGCTCATATTCTATAACAACCAATCTAAAAAAATATATAACATGATGATTAATATTAAAAAAAAAAAAGGAAATCCATAAGACTCATATGATGGCTACAGAACACATCGTTTTTCTGTCAGCTTTTTTATATTGACCATAGGTTTCAAATTTTTTATTTTGATTAAAATTTTGATTTTTTCTTTTCTATTGATAAGTTCTTATATGTTAAATTGTAAAGTATTTCATAAATCAAAAATGCTGACATTAAATAAAAGAAGAGTATCATACCACACATGATTTAATAACACTTCAATAATTCCGGTATGAAATTCTGCAAAGCTTGTATGGAAATAATACAAAAATCATAAAAAGAAACCATACCGAGCATGTTTTTGTAATTTTATTCTTTTATTTATATAGTCGCGATAACAGGTTTATTGTATCATTATCACAATCGTAGAATATAAAAAAAATGATTTTTTTTATTTTGCTTTTAATTTTAAACTTATTGTTAAGCATTTAAAAATTTAATTATACATTTGAAAGAAATTATTAATAAAAAATCTCAAGATTAATTTAAAATTCGATTTTCGATTTTCGATTAATCGAGTATAATCAGTTTTATGAGGTACTTAAATCTATTTTTTTTGTTTTTCATCTTCACTAACCAATCTGCAAAATTGTCTTTACTTTTCTTTCACGCGAAAATTTTTAATTTATCAACAACCTTGCTCAATTTGTTTTCTAGTGGTCCATATCCTTTATATTTGCTATTGCCGTAGCACCAAATTGTTTCCAAACTTGATGGCAAATGTCTCAGACCATCATCAATCTTAGTTCTTAACTCTTTTAGTTTACTCCAAAGGCCATGGAAACGATTGTAATTATTATTGCCTACCCTTCCTCACTGGTGAATTCCTATTCACAATGACCTCACTAATATCATAAAGAATAGTAGGCAAACTTTCTTTGATAAGCTATGTATTCTTATTAATCTTTCACGGAAAAACTTTATTTCACGTATAATTTATGGCGTAACTAAATCTGTACTTATAAAAAAACGATTAAAAGAAAAATCGAGGTTATTAAAGAAAAGATAATTCAAAGTTTAAAACTAAAATAATTGATTAAAAAAAATAAAATTAAAATAAAAAAAATATATCGAAAAAATAATTAATAAAATTAATTACAATAAAAACGCACTAATAAAAATCAATTAAAACTTCAAATTAATAAATTATAGAAAGAAAATTTAAAATTAAATCCCCACGATTATAAAAATTAAAAAATTAAATTTAAATTAAAAATTAAAAAAAAAGAATTAACAGAACAATAATAAGAAACAGAAAATAAATAAATTACATTTAAAAAAAATTTAAAATAAAAGAAATAGAAAGTAAATAAATTACATTTAAAAAAAAATTTAAAAAAAAATATTTTTAATTTTAAAAATTTAATTATTTAACAATTAAAAAAAAATACTGCTAACTTGCGAAAAAATTCATAGAGACCTTAAATTTAAAAGTTGACCGCTTATATAATTTGCTACTTTGGTTAAATAGTTAAATTTATTAGTATGCTTCATCGAATTTTTATCATTGAATAATAATAGATTCCATATTCTAAAATTATAAATTTAGAAAAAATAGCACAAGGAGGATTTGGCTGTTTATCGAGCAACTAGATTTGGACATTGTCAATTTGCTTCTCAGAGTAATTTTGTTGCGGTAAAAAAAATCCTAACTCTCAAAATATCAGCAAATAATTTTTTAAGCGAGGTAATTATTTAATATTATTCTTAATAAAATACATTTTACTTTATATCACTCTGTTAAATGGTTTGCTTTCATTGTAATTTTAGTTAAAATCGTTATATAATTGTCACGAAGGATTGAATTATGTTAGTAAAGGAATTGTTCGATGCTATGGAGAGCCTTTCAAATTGATTTTTTTTGACTTATTGTTTGTAAAAATAAAATAATATAAAAAAAAAGTCAAAATTTAATACTCATAATTACACAAGATCCAGAGACAATGTTAATAATGAAGTATGCAAAATATGCATTATTTACAAAAAAATTTTAAAAGTATTACATGGGTATGATAAATTTCGTATTTTAGATGAAATTTCAATGGTATTTATAATTTAATACTTTATCTTATATTAAATAATGTTTAATAAATATATTTTACACATTAATATTCTTATACATCGAGATCTTCATAGTGGAAATACATTAAATGTATCGAAGATATAATGAGCGATCTAGGTTTATCGCAACCTGCAGATTTTTCGCAGAATAATGAAATATATGGTGTCATACCTTATATTTCACTGAAGTATTTAAAGGCGATAAGTTGTCAAAAGGATCTGATATTTATAGTTTTGGTATGAATATGTGGAAATTAACAACAGGTCGTGAACCTTTGATGATGATGGTACTTATTATTGCAATTATTGATGGCAAACGGCGGCCTGATATTACTCAAGATACTATGCTATGTAATGAAAAGATGTTGGGATCCCGACTCTTCAAAAAGAACTTATTCAATAAATACGTTTTCATTTAATTTCACTTTTGATAAAAAAGAAGTTGAAAAGAAAAGATTGAATTAATACAATCAATGAAATTTGGTCCCGAATTTAATGAAAAACCTCACCTAAAAGAAATTTTATACGAGTAGAGCATTAAGCTCTATGATCTTGAATCTTCTTCGTTAACAAGTCGTCTGATGCAAGCCGAGGTAAGATTTAAATTATATAACAAATTAAGGATATTGTTACAATTGAATGTAATTCCGGACGAAATATCCATAATTCCGCATGAGAATCGCTTTCGATATTTGCAGCAGCTAGTCCTTTGAAGATCATTTTGTCAGGTTTTCAAGGTACCAGCATGACAAAATGTTCAGAACGCCAGGCTGGCCTAATCATTTTTTTTTATATATGCAAGCCGGAAATCCATACAACTTAATATCCACGCTCGCCCTTGTTATATTTCTTTGCATACATTCCTTTCGAAATACTTCCTTTAACACTTTCGCGAAATTTTCGTTTTCGCCGTTTTAACTTTTTAATTTCGTATATGTAACTCCGTTTATTATTTTATTTTTTAATTTCTGATTTAATTAGAATTTTATTATATGTAATTATTAAATAGAATTTTATTACTTGGCATTTACATAGGTTAATATATTGATCAAATTGATAATATTAAATAAATGGGTCGCATTCAACTTACCGACAATCATTTTACCGACATGGTTGTTGTTTCACCGACAATAATAAAATTTTTAATATTTTTTCGGTGAAATAATCTGTCGGTGAAATAACCATGTTGGTAAAATGATAGTCGTTACAGCTAATTTCAAAAGTCACGGGACGGACGATCATTATGCAGATCGAAAACTCGGTATAAAATTTTTGAATAATAACTACGTTCAGATCAGTGTTCCGAATATATCGACATAATTTTTTTTACCCATATATAAATGTGGTTGGCTTTTCTAAATTTTTTGGAAAAGACTTGGATATTCTCGGCTGTCCTGTAACTTATGAAATTAACTGTAATCCAAGTGTCGGTAAAATGTACCTGTCGGCCAAATGATTGTCGTGAATTTCTGATTGGTTTCATAATGTTAACGCATCATTTGACACCAATTATTCGTATGACTTAATAAAACGATAAATATTTTATTTGCACGCATGCAAATTGATGTGATTTACATAAAATAAATAAAATATAGATTTTTTTTTTTGAAATAAACGAGTAATATACATATACATCATAGACTCCTATTAAATGTTTTGATATCCTTGAATAATTTGATTACTAGATGGTCCGTCCGAGAAAGATCTAAAATAATACTTGCTTTTGCCTTCCTAATGAATCGAAATCATTTCGACTTTAATTTCAGTGTCACTACGTGGTATTTATTTATTAAGAGTCGTTTAATTCATGGATAAACAGACATATCTGTCAAAATTATGACATAATTTTCACAAGACGCCTACATTAAAACCTATCATTACTAACAAAAACCCCACATTACGCAAAGTTTAAATTAGGCAATAACAAGTCCT